ATTATTATTATTGTTATTATTATTATTATTATTATTATTATTATTATTATTATTATTATTATTATTATTATTATTATTATTATTATTATTATTATTATTATTATTATTATTATTATTATTATTATTATTATTATTATTATTATTATCATTATTATTATTATTATTATTATTATTATTATTATTATTATTATTATTATTATTATTATTATTGTTATTATTATTCGAAATGTTGTCCCTATTGTGGGAGGGTTTAAGAAGGAGACACAAAACTTTTAATTATAATCTGGTTTTTTGGTGGAATTCGTGGTTATTAAGAGGTTCAAAACTCAGGATTTTTTGTTGGAATTCTAAGGGGTACACAAGGATGATAAATCAACGACAAATTATCAAAGCAGACCATGTAATGTTATTACTTAACAGCTCTTAATTTTTCATTGTTCAAGGTATAATATGAACTATAAATAGTTGACATTGAACAAGTAATTTTATTTTTTCTAATTACAGCGATTACAAAATAATCTCGAAGTTTCTTTTAATACAAATCATAAAAACTAGCTATTTTTAGTCTATATCTGCCAAACTCTTGCCCTTGTCGCTGTAAGACCTTCCGATATTTTTGGAACGACTAAAATAATTTCAATTTGACAAAGGTCTATGACTTCCTGTGTCCAATCGATGTTGATCAATCATTTTCATCGAATTACCAATAATTCAGCACAATACCCCCTACGACCCGTGCTATATATACTAATAAATCATATTAAGCACTATTCTTATCAATTGGTGGTATAATTCGTGGTGGCCCGTTAAGTGTGACAAATGTTGTAACACCATGTGAATCATAAAGTTAATAATAATATTTCCTTAGCCCTAAAAAAAAAATCATATGTTCGAAATAGTTTATCGAATTATAGTTTCCAAAAAAAGTTATAAATCAATTTGAAAATATACGCACGTTTTTTTAATTACCAATGGGCGTGATTTATAATAAAGACAACTAACTAGGAAAGCGGTGCTCAGATAAGGAGAAGGTTGAATGGTAAGTCCCCGTTAGAAGAATTTTCTTTTTTTATAAAGAATTCCATGGGGGTGGAAAATTGTTGTTGTTGAAATGAAAATGTTTGATTTGGCAGGGCAAACTATAAAATATGCGTTGATAAAATAGTGGTAAAATTAGAAGTTGGGAAATATTTATAAATATGCTGCCAATGACATTGTCGTTATCAAAACGCATTGTCCTTGAGTTGATACGTCAAGTAGGCATTATGATTAGCGTTACGACATATAATAATTAAGACAAGGCCACAGTCGAGCGCAGCCGATACAATACTATTATGTTTGGTAACGAATCCCTCAAGGTGTTGAAATACACAATTGGAAGTCTTAAAATATGGTCCATCTCATCCGCTATATATTATCCGATGACCATTCAAAATAGTAAAACTACGTCCTGCCTTAAACTCTAACAGCAAGCAAAATCAGTCTATAATTCTGACCAGTTGAGCTATGAAAGCAAAAAATGTTGGAAATAGCATCAAATTCTAGAATAAGTTTCGATTTGTTCGAATTGGTCTCCTTTGGCACGAATAATAGTCTTCAAACGGCCAATGCGATATTTTGTCCCATTCCCGGCAAAGCGCTTGCTTAAGGTGATCGACACTTTGGTATTTTGTAGTGCCAAACAAAATACTCTAGACAATAGTCCAACGAATTGGTATCCGGAGATTTTGGTGGCCATTGTGCGCTGGAAATTAAACAATGAACCTCATTTTGTAACCATTCTTGGGTGGTGGTCCTGTTGGAATGTCCAAGGTCTGCGGCCAAAATGTTCGCGTGTCCAAGGCTTTAATACGCCCTCCAAAATATTGATGTGATAATATTCGGCATTTATTCTGATGTCATGGCCAACCGAAGCTGCACATTTTCAGGTGCACATTTTCAATTCCTTTGATGATCTGCATGGAATCTGCCATTTTGTCTGTCTGTCTGTCATTCTGAAAACGAATTCGTTTTCAGAAAAACTGATCGAAATCAGTTTATGATTTTAATAGAATTTTATCTATATTGGTGTTGGGGTATTTCTAATATTACGAGTGTTTCCCCCCATCACCAGGGTCGAATTCAATATTTGTTTTTTATTATTATTTTAAGGTAAAGTACAAAATTAAAAATGCTATATAGGATGAGATGAAAAAAATGCAACAAACTTCAGACTGCTGTCATTTCTAAGCCACTCGTCCGACAGCTGTTAAAATTATTCCAGTGGCAGCTCATTTTATTATTTACAAGTGTACAAAAGCATTTTGATGAGAATTTTTAGAAAATTTAAATATTAAATGTGTCTCGTACCATTGCTTGTTACCATGATACTGGTAGCGTAGCCCGACGTCAAGGAAGTGAACGAAAAATAAAGAAGCGACTTGACTGAAACCCCCGTCGCAGTGGCCGAAAAATGGCTCGTGAGCTAAACGTATCGCAATATTCCATTCGGCAAATATTGAAAAATGAGCTCGGGGTAAAGCCATTGAAATTCCTAAAAGTGCAAAAACTTACACCGCTATAGAAAGAAAATAGACTCAAAAGAGCTAAAGAGTTACTTCGGTTGGCCGAAAGTGGTAAACTGCCGAATTTGGTTTTGTCCAATGAGAAAACATTCGTTGTCCAGCAGTTTGTAAAAAAAAAAAACAAAATGATCGTGTTTACTTACCAAAGAGGTCAGCTGAGAATGTGCACCTTCGGTTGGCCCCCATAACTCAAGCGCCGGCCATGGTAATGGTGTGGGCCGTCATAACAGCCGATGGTCATTCTCGGGTCGTATTAATCGACCGTGGCATCAGAATAACATTTGACCGCAGACCTTGGACATTCCAACAGGACTCAGCACGCGCCACGCAAGAATGGTTACAAAATCAGGTACATCGCTTCATTTCCAGCGCACAACGGCCACCAAAATCTCAGGATACCAATCCGTTGAACTATTGTGTCTTTAGTATTTTGTAAAGCAAGGTTGGCACTGAAAAAGACCAAAGTGTCGATCATCTCAAGCAAGCGCTTCGCCGGGAATGGGCCAAAATACCGCAGAGCAACATTCTTGCAGCGTGTGACGGTTTCATTGGCCGTTTAAAGACCATAATTCGTGCCAAAGGTGATCAGATCTAAACTTATTCTATAATTTGATGCTATTTCCGACATTTTTTGCTTTCATTGAATAAAATTAAAAAAAAGATATAAAATCTCCGGATACCAATACATTGGACTATTGTGTACGCAGTAGTTTGGAAAGCAAGGTTGACACTAAAAAATACTAAAGTGTCGATAACCTCAAGCAAGCGCTTTGCCGGGAATGGGCCAAAATACCGCAGAGCAACATTCCAATTCGAACAAATTTAAGCTTATTCTAAAATTGGATGCTATTTCCGACATTTTTTGCTTTCATTCTATAAAATTAAAAAAAAAAAAAATGTAAAAATTATGGCGTTTGACTTTGTTGCAGTTTTTTATCTAACCCTGTATAGTTCAACGTTTTCCTAGAGCCTCCATATAACGGTACATCATCATATTCGGTCATTTGACCATTTTGGAAGGTAATAGTTATATAACAGGTAGTTAGAGTTCATAATGGATTTCCTGTGGAAGAAATTGTGAATACAGCGTCACGTATTACATGATGACCATAAAAATTGGAAGGCTTCTGCCCAGCTCTAAGCCCCATGCAAACTATAATTGCGACCTGTAGAGTAACAGCAAAATCAGTAAATTTTTCAGTTTTTGGTCCATTTCAACTCCTAAAAAATATGCGATCATCTCCAAAAGCAATAGGCTTATATTCAGACCATAACCCCACCTTCATGCAAAATTTCGTGAGAATCGGTCCTTAATTGCGACCTGTACAAAGATTTCAAATTAGCATGACCAGACGGGCAGACGGATATACAGGGTTGCCCATATTCGACGGACCCATCTAGCAACGCCATAACTTTTGACAGAGATGTCACATCGCTTAATGACATACAGCGTTTGAAGCGTCAGTCCAAGCAGATTTTTACCATGAACCAATACACGCCACGCGAGCGCTCTGAAATAGTTGAAATTTACATTCAACAGAAGACGTCAATAATGAAAAAAAAATGTGAGAAGTGCGCCTTCTAAGAACACCATTAAGCGTTTATACGAAAAATTTTCAACTGGTAAGGCTCTTTCAAATCCGAAGAGGCCATATAAAAGTCGATGCCGTACGAGCCAGTGTTGAGAGGTCCTCAAGAACATCCCAAAAACGGCATTCTCAGCAGTTGAGCATGGCTCGGTCCACTTTACAACGGATTATTCGCATTGATTTGCATTTGTTCCCGTACAAAATTCAATTGACGCAAAGAATGTTGCCTGCGGACAAGCCTCGTCGATTGGAATGGGCCCAAAGGTCCGTCGAATATGGACAACCCTGTATTTATATATGAGGGCTATATATATGAGGGCTATAACTCTAGCCCAGTGAAAACTTTCGCCCATTGGTCTTTTATGCGACCTGTAGAGTAACTGCAAAATCACTCAATTTTTTAGTTTTCGGTCCATTTAAATGCCTAAATATTAAGCGATCAAAACAACCTCGTAAAAATCGGGACATAATTTCGACCTGTAGCGTGATTACAAATTAACATGGACAAACGGACGTACATAGCTAGATCGACTCAGCTCGACGAGATGGGAAGATCCATATATACTTTCCTATGTGGGAAACCCATATTTCGAGGTGTTACATAATTTTTGGCCCAATCAAACTTATAATACCCCCAACACATAGTGTTGTAGGGTATAATAAAATATTATCTATATGGGTAGTGGGGTATTTTAATATTCCAAGTTTTTCCCCCATCTCCAGGGTCGAATTCAATGTTTGTTTTTTATTTTTTTTTTAAGGTAAAGTACCAAATTAAAAATTTTATATTCCCCATATCGTGGCAACCCAAACAAACAATAAAACGTTCAGCGAGCTTTGTTTTGTCTGCTAACTTGCCTAACGGTAAGTTTATTATATTTATTTTATTTTTTTCAAAAAATAATTTCACAATTTCTTTTAATATACATGTCAAATTAAATATATCGATGGTTATGGATATCAACAAAAGAAATATTGGCAAGTAATGAAATTAATTTCAAAAATGTGACTTTATCAAATTTGCAAATCTTTTGTGTGTTTTTGTTCGTGGGAATATTTTTTAAATTTTCGTCAATACTGTTTTTCCCATCGAAATATTTAAGTTGGAATAAATATTTAAGTATATGGATTTATCACAGTTATATCTTATTTTAAAAAATGTTTGTTTATAAATATTATTAAAATTCTAAATACAAAATAAATAGCTAATACTATGTGTAAATGTGGCACATGTTGGGAGAATGATAATGAGGGGGGAGTGGGTGGTAGTGGGCAAATGCTCGACTCTCTTGGTAAAATAAATAAATAAATAAAAATACATCTAGTGGCATGGAATGTATAATAAATAAATTAATTAACAAAAGTTAAAAAGAAAAACATGACATAATAAATAGTTTCATGAAGGATGAAGGTGAGATTTAAAGTGGGAAGGGTGGTAAGAGTAAACTATGTTTATGTTTAAGTACAATTCGAATAAGGAAATGTTAGATAATACTTTTAGGAACTGCTTTGTCAGGAATGACAACTGACCATGGATTTTTGGTCCAGCTGTATCTTAGCTTAGCTTCATTGGCACACTTGGCAGATTGATTGTTTGGGTTGGGTTGGGTGTTTACGCACTCGTTTGTTTGTTGCTGTTGTTCTGGCGTTGTCGGCGCCTCTTCTTCTGTTGCACTGGCTTGGCTGTTGTCTGAGCTTTCATGCTCAGTTCAAAACTTTCACCCAAACTCATGTTGGAGTCGGGGCGCATCATTGAACTGAGATTCACCGAACTTTGTGACTCATCATTGCCGTTGCTGGGATTTTCCGCCGATGCCGTTTCTGAGCTCTCCAGTTTCACGGAATTGCTTAGATTTTTCGAGACCTTACGTTTCAATACCTTGCGCATGCCAGCCAAATATTTAAAGTAGGCATCCTTGGCAAATTTCAAGTCCAGCAGGGTGGGCTCTACCACAGCATTGCCATGGTTTTGTTGTTCTTTGACCTGGAATTGCAGTTTCTTGTCCATGGCCTCTGTGCTGAAAGATTTCAATTTTCTGGTATTTGCATTGGCATGCGAACCATTGATGGTGAATTCCAATTCGCACAACATTAGGCGGGCACTGGTTAACAATTGATCCAATTCCTTGGTTGTCTCACTGACATACTGCTGCCTGGCCATGTCCCATTGGTATTGGCTGCGTCCCAAGTAGCCAAAGGATGCGACAAATATTTGCATGTTACTATACCAACGACTGAGAGTGATCTGTAATGAAGAAAAGTGTGGAGAGGGGAGAGGAAAATTATTATTAATTTCATATGCATATTTTTTTTCAAGCATAAAATATAACGAGGATCTCATGATAAGTGAAGTGTAATAATTCACATTTCACCTAGCATATTCCGGGCTGTTGTGGTTCTCCCAAAAAAATGGATGCTTTTTTTCATCTTCCTCTTTTGCTGGCCAGTTGAGATCAATGATTGATTGATTTATATTTTTAAGAGATGATGTGTTTTTTCAACCTGACCAAGACACCAGCCATACAATGCTGTCGGTATGACAGGAACAAATTCATAAAGAGCCTGTCTACAATAATTCGCTGTGGTTGTTGTTGTTTTTGTCGATTTATGCAAATCTTGACTTCATTTTTCCTGATGTTTGTTGCACATTTGGTTGGATGGTTTGTTAGTTGCATGGAACAAGTTTTCTCTCACTTTTCGTGGACTGTGTAAGATATTTGCCGCCTATAGCCACCTACCAACATATGCAGATATGTATGTATGGACTTTGATGCCAACAATCCCAGGGACTAACTGCCAATCTATAACATCTGCTGGTCGAGACAGTCCAAGTCACAAAAATGTTATAAGAAGGAAAAGCAAAACAGGGTGCTTGTTCATCATGCTGTCATGCTTTATTAAGCCCTGAGGGTGGTGATTGTCAAGTTAACGCATATTTATGGTTGAAACAACCTAAAGTAAGTGCACTTTATGATTGAGCGAACATGTTGAAAAGAAATACTTGCATTTTTTGGTTTGGATAAATTTTAATAATTTGTAAGTTATACAGAAGACTATCAATATTTTATGAAATATTTCATGTTTGGCCAATGGCAAAAACAAAAGTTGCGGAGGAAATTATGATAATGTGGAGAGGTTGGTAAATTTCCCAAAGACTGGATTTTATTGAGGGTGAAGGGAAGTGGAATGCTGACATGCTATTTTTCGCCCCATCCCTTCAACGTCTCATGTCGCTCCTATGAAAACATGGAAGTATAGTCAAAAATCTTTTCAATCCCAAATTTTGGAATCAGTCTAGACTCATTTAGCTTGTCAACCACGAATTTATCATTAACATGAAGCTCGTCCAGTGGTTTATAACAGGTATAAGCAATGTTTTACAATTGAATTCATGTAACAAAATGTATTGGTGGAATCATGTGGAATTTTGAAATCAGTCCAGATTCACTTGGCTTGTCAACAGAGAAGATATCTTTAATATAAAGTTCGTCCAAAAATGTGTGGCAGGTATAAGCAATGTTTTAAAATTGGAGTTCTTATAACAAAGTATATTGGTGTAATAATTGTGGAATTTGGAAATCAGTGCAGACTCACTTGGTTTGTCAATAGAGTATATATTGCTAATACGAAGTGCGCTTAAAAATGTATGGCAGGTATAAGCAATGTTTTAAAATTGAATTCATATAATAAAATGAGTTGGTGAAATCATTCTGGAATTTGGAAATCAATCCGGTCTCATTTAGCCTGTCAACGGAGTAGAGATCGTTAATATGAAGATCGTCCATAGGGTAATGGCAGTTATAAGCAATGTTTTAAAATTGAATTCATATAATAGAGTATATTGGTGGAATCATTCTAGAACTGTTAAATCAATTTAAATTGACTTAGCTTGTCACCCAAGTAGATATCGTGAATATGAAATTCGTCTAGAGATTCATCTCAGGTATAAGCAATGTTGAAATTTGAATTCATATTATAAACAGTTTTGGTGGAATTATTTTGGAATTCGGAAATCAATCCAAACTTACTTTGTTTTTCAAAAATAAATAAATAAATTTACTAGATATCTCCAGAGATGTATGGCAGATATAAGCAATATTTAAATTCGAATGCATGTTTATGAATTGTTTGATGAATAACTGGAGACATTGGTTGTGTTGTCTCACGTATATAAAATTTATGGCAGATATAAGCAATAATGAAATACGAAACATATGAATTGAAATTTTCAATTCTTTCTCAGAAAAATAGAGTTTATTTTCTTTAAATTGCAACATTGTTGTTGTTGTGGTTTCTTGCACAAAAGAGAACAACTTTAAAATATTTGCATTGCACTTAAAAACAATAAATTTCTCAAAAAAAGTTTCCCAACAAATTCAATGGTCGAATGGCTGAATTTGTCTTGAGTTGCTGTTTAACATAAAATGTAGCTTTAGAATGTTCAGTAAGTTATAAGGAGGACTGCCTCTTTTTAAAATAGGGTTTTCATGTAATTTATATGGCTGCAATTTTGATTTAGCTGCCCTTGGACCTATACGTTTCCTATTAACACGGTTGAATATGCGTACAATTCAGTATTGCTTGTATCTCTCCTTGAAGGTTGCGAATGGCATGTTAAAGAAATCTTCCCCTCGACATTAAGTTTTCTTCAAGATTACGTGCAATTAATTGATGTGCAGGTAAGCCAAAAATATTGTATTTATGTGAGGAAAATTTAGGGAAACCATTTTAATTTTGAAGATTTACTAATTTGTATTATAAAAAATTATATATTTTCGCAATATTTGATTTTTGAAAGTTTTGAGATATTTTCAAGGAAATTCAATCATATATTCATGATTGAGGATTATCCTACGGAATTTGATTTTTTTTTTCCGAAAATTTGATGTTTGATCTCAACTTTAAAAAAATCATATTTTTGAGATATTTTCAAGAAAATTTAATCATATATTGATTCCTACAGAATATGAATATTTTACCGAAAATTTGATTTTTTAATCTTCGTTTTCAAAAACAAATTTTTGAGATATTTTCAAGAAAATTTAATCATATATTGATGATTATCCCACGGAATTTGAGTATTCTTCCGAAAATTAGATTAGAGAAAATTAGAATTAGAAAAAATTAATTTTTTTATGTATTTTGAAGAAAATTTAATCATATATTGACGATTATTCTACAGAATTTGAATATTCTTCCGAAAATTAGATTTTTAGCTTTCGGAAAAAATCAAATTTTTAATAACTTTTGATACTGTGCTATCTTGAAGAGCTCTTCAATATTCGAATTTTTCAGATAAGCATTGCAACAATCAAAGAGTCTTCAAATTTTTAATTCAATCTTTTTTTTTGTATTTATCCTCCTTGACATCCAAGGTGGCCAATTTTAAAGACCCAAATATTTGGTGTTACTGTCATTACAAAATAGTTCACAAAAATGCAAATGGATTAACACGTGACAATAGAACTAGCACCAACAGAGGAATTTCCCTTTGTAAGGAAAAGGCGGCTAAACTTCTGTAAACTTTTATGACTGGCAAAAAAACTGCGGAACAAAAAAAAAAAAACAAAACTACAAAGCCATGGCTAAAACATGATCGTGCATTGTAAACAGGGTTTAAGTTCTGCATAAATTATGTAAAAAAGAGACTAGATTGGCAACAGGGAAGAACATGCCACAATGGATTTTCCACTAATTGAGGTGACCGTTCAAAATAATGATGGAAACATTTATGAATTTTACTTCTAACACAAAAAACGGGAGTTACCCTTCTTCTTCTTTATATAAGCAAAATCATTGCTCATCTTTCATATAAATTCTAAAAAAATAACCTCAAAATTCCACTGGCCTATCACCCAAGTCATCACCACAATTATCGTGGCTCATATCACATCAAACCCAGAACCATCATATCATTTCATATTTATAGCTAGCATTGAGTTGATTCGGTTTAGATATCTCTTCTTGTATTTGTCATAACACGTTTAATAGATCATCTTTGTTGGAACCACAACAGAAAAAAATACGAAAAAAAGAAATAACCTTAAATATGATACTTACGCTAGAGTTTTGTTTCACTTTTGGCAAAAATGTATAGTAGTCACGATGCAAGCTCCACGAATTCATATCATCGAGTTTGATGTGTTTCAAACTCAAATGGCGGGTAACGTATTCTTTGCGTATGGTTTCACGGAATCTTTTCAAGAGCTAGAATTAGAAACAAATTTAAAAAATTAATTTTACACATTTCCAATTTAGGTTTCAAATGCAAAACATACATAATAGGTATGACGCCGGCTGTGGGTGACATCCACAGCTGGATTTTCACCCATAACATTGCAGGGATTTTGCCAGACATTGTGTTTGGATGTGCCATCAAAGTATTTCAAATTATCCAAATGTTGGGCCTGACGTTTGTTCAATTTGCCATTGCGGCTCTTCTGATATTCCGATTTACGTTCCGCATGTCTAACCACATCGATGGGTGACAACTCATCGTAGGTCTCTGAATCAGAATATGAATAATCGGATGATTGTGGATCTTCCGATTCTAAGTTCAGTTCTTTTTCTTCCCTGACATATTCCTCGGCCAACTCTTCAATGGCCTCAGAGAGTAGCAATAGTTTTTCAGCCTTGCCTGTTGCATCCGAGCCGTATGTTGCAGTTAAATGTCTCCTCACTGCAGCGGCATCTACATTGTGTGGCATTATTACAATGAAACCCATTATTACCATTAGTAAAATGGTTAGGTGATGTTGTTGTTTATAATTATTTGTTGTTGTTGTTCTTGTAGCTGTTCTTTCTTTTAGTTGAGATTTCTCTTCATTGGCATGCGCCAAGGATGGGCAGGTGCAATATTCAGCTGCTTTGCCTGATTCGCTTTCGTTGCAATGGGTCAAAGTTGCCGATTTATTGGTAGCACCACTTTGTAATTCGAATCCTGCCATGCAAGCCACTGAAAGTAATTGAGGGAAATTATTAAATAAAATCAATTAATTAACAATTACAAATATAATTATTTTTTATAAAATATAATGAAATATAAATTTAAGATTTCTTGAAATTCCCAATTCTTTTAAGTTATTTTTGTAATAAAGCAAAAATATAAATTAATTTTTTGAATATTTCAACAAAATAATTGTATTAAATGGCAGGTATGAGTAAAAAAACTATCAACAATATCACAACTAGATGGCGCTAAAAATCTATATATCTGCCAATCTGAAACTGGCGGTCTGTTAGCAATTTTTACTCATCCAAATGTGTCTGGAAAAAGATCATTCGACTCTGAATTCTTTAAAATGTAAAAGTCTTTCTTTAGATGTAGGAACGTTAAAGTAAATCATCCGTACGACAAAGCAATTATACTAAATGGCAGGTATAAGCAAAATAATCCATGTAAAAATTTCACAAATAGATGGCGCTTATAAAAAAATCAATGTTTCTGCCTGAAGCTAGCAATTATGCTACTATTTTGACTCAGCTAAATTTGTATGAAGAAGTTTTCATAGAAGAACATTTTTCTAATAAAGGATGATTGGTATATTCTTCTATATTTGACTGAAAATTATTCTAAATAGAGGGCTGAATTCTGGTGCTCCGACAAGGGATTAGTCCTTGAATACATTCTCAAAAGGGAACTAGAATTATTATTTTTTTTTTTTTAAATCGGGAGAACTTGGATATCGATTCTCTGTAAAAATTATTTTTATCTTAGAGATAATATGAAATTCCTAGATGATTTGAGTTCAGATATTCCGAAAAGAACTAGTTCATAAAATTGTTCAGTGAAAGGAAAGATATTTTTAAATCTAAAGAGATGGATTGGTTCCTCTCACAGGTAAACTCGGAGGATCGAATATAGATTACTCAGTTCTTTTATGAAAATAAATAAAAAATAATCTCAGACAGAATTCGAAAGTCCTAAATGGTTTGAGTTAAAATATTCCCAAAGGTACTAGTTCATAGAAACTGTTCAGTGAAAGGAACTCAAAAATATTTTTAAATCTAGAGAGACGGATTGTTTTTCTCTTTCGCTCACAGATGAATTTTGAGGACCGTATATCAATTACAAAGCTTAAAAAAATCGGTCATCACAGAAAGAACATCAAAGGATTATAATGTTTTAGTTCAGATGCTCCGAAATGAACTAGTTCATAAAATCTGTTCAGTGGAAGAAACTTAAAAATATTTTGAATTGGATAGGAGAACTGTATTGTGTTCCTCTCACAGATTAATGTCGGGTTCCATATATAAATTACTAAGAACAACATTTGAAAAGTAATCAGAGAGAATATCAAAGTCCTAAATGATTAGAGATCAGATGCATCGAAACTGTTCAGGGAAAGGAACTTAAAAATATTTTCAAATAAAGACAATCCAGTTCGTCTTTCTCTTACAGATGAATTTCGAGTTCCAAATATATATCATCTATGACACATAAAATATTCTGAGGATCCAAAAACAATCTGTTTGCATGATCTGTTCAGTGAATGGAACCATCGAAACTAAATATAGTGGCTGTAGTTCAACTTGTTTTTCTTTTTGTTACCTCGCTTTTTTTTTTGGTTCACTGAGCCCTACAAATATTCTAGCTCCCAAAGATCCGGCCTAACTCAAAGTGTTAGAGTAATGTCATTCAAAAATTGAACCAGTTCATTGGAACTATTCTGTAAAAGGAATGATGGAATCTCCTTCCAACTCTTTTTTTTTATCCACTTAATTAAGTTGTTTAGGTTAATTTTTCTGACATATTTTTTAACTTCTTTTGGTTCTTCTTCAACAGTTCCGTCAAAGTCTTAACGTAAACTGCTGGACTTGTATAGTTCCACGGTGAACTAGTTCATTGGAACATTTCCGTGAAAGTAAGGATCGATACATTCATCAATCAAATTCTTTTTTCATTTATGTCCTTTGTCTATTTAGTTTTGTCTTAATCAAAAGTAAATGATGTAAAAGGAACAATTGAAATAAAAAGGACGAGTGAACTAATTAGACCGAGGAATTCACATGCAGAACTAGTTCCTTTATTATAAATTATTCGCCTAAAAATCAGAGGGCGCTAGCCCTGAGCTTATTTGGGAAAATATACGCATAAATTGAACACATTTCAAAAAAAAAAAAAAACACAATTAATTAAATATTGAGTTTGGTCTGGGATGTTAAAACATGTAAAAAATTTTAATTCTGGTCCATTTTTTCTATTGAATATATTCAACCCGGCCTTTTCACTCTCACGCACTTTTACAGTATTAAAAGTTTTTTTTCAAATTTTCACAAAATCTTTAAATGTGGTACGCAAAAAATTACCTTTTATTTTATCAATTAAATGCACTTAAAAAAAACCAAACACGAAACGCACTGGAATATCGTTGCGCTATTAATTAATCAAATGTATCAATTTGTTTGGGTATGTGTCTGCCGATTATTCGCACTGGATTAGTCACTAATCGAAAATTTCGGAATTTTTTCCTGTTTGGCTTTGTTGCGCTGATGGTGTTTTTGTTGTTAATGTTGGCGATTGTTTAAATTCAAACGTTTAAATAACGGCTATGTGTTGTTTACTTTTTGTTACACTTATTTTTTTTAATTAGTTAAAACTCGTTGTTCCTCTGTTTTACTCGTTGTTTTCAAATGCTATCACAATTTCGCGATTTTCAAAATGTTATTGCTATGCGTTCGTTTGATTCGTAAGAATTTTGTTATTAACTTAAAATAAAACAATTTGTCGATTCGTTATTCGTAGCGTAAGCGATGTTGTGTGCACATTACGCTTGTTTAAACTAAACTAACTTTAACTAACCAAAGCGCTGGCAAAAGTAAACTTTTTTATATTTGTGTATTTTCAATCGCTGCGGCGGCTCTCGCTTCAATGTTTCCCTTGCTGGCTGGTGTGTGCGGTTTTATTGTTGATTTGGCTCGGGCCAAACACGCTCGCCACACACAGTCAGACGGCCATACGTCATCGTTGGCGAAAACAGAAAATACCTCATCAGTGCGAGTCAATTTGTTAATAAACCACTAAATACAACAACAACAACAGCCTACATATCTCAATCATGATACGAGAGTGTGTGTGTGTGTGCGTGTGGGTATGTGTGCACAGGTGAATATATTTTAGCTTGTAACTCCCCCTTTTTTACATGGCTATTGTAACTTAAGAGAATTGCAGCAGATTGTTGTAATGCTCAGGCGCAACCATATTTTACTGTATATGTGAGTTACAACAAGCCTCTGATATGGCTCTCTTAAGTATAACTCTCACAAAATTTCTCTTTGTAAAACACCACTTTAAATAGGAGGCTGGTCATGTTGTCGTCATTGTGGGATTTTCCTACGCATTTTTCATTGCACATTCGATTTTCTTTACGATGATGATGACGCTACGGGATTTTTTTCTGAATTAAGAAATTTGTTTACTATCGAAATGCTGAAGTGTGAATGAGTGTGTGTGCGTGTTGGAGCACAAAGAATGGTCTTGGCTGATAAGGGTTGCCAATGAGGGGGTCTTTGTTTTTATTTTCAAATTTGGGTCTGTAAATGGATACAATTGGAGAGTTTTTTTTATACCCGATTGTTGTAAAAGTCCGATTGTTTTCAACTTACACACATCAGAATATTTTCATTAACCCAAGGTCTGGTGTTAAGATGTAATATATCGGGCCACTCTTTCTGGTACCTCCCCCACAAAGTGTCAAAATTTTGAATAATTAAACGCAAAATAAAATTGCGATTCCATTCAGAATTTGCACATCCCAATATTTTTATAAATACAGGATCTGTTATAAAGATTCCTTCTGGTACCTCCTCCATAAGGGGTCAATGTTTTAAATAAATTATAAAATCCGAAATAAGCATCCGGTTCTCTTCATATTTAACATATCCCATTATTTCTACTAACATAAGATCTGCTGTAAAGATGGAATATACCAGTTTACTCCTTCTGGTACCTCCGCCACAAAGAGTCAAAAATTTGAGTATCCATGAAGGTCATAAAACGCGAAATAAACATGCGATTCCACTCAGACTTAATACATCACAATATTTCTATCAACACAGGACCTGTTATAAAGATGGTAGATATCGGACCGTTTGCTCTGGTACCTCCCCCACAAAGGATCAATGTTTTGAATAACCAAATCGGTTACAAAATCCGAAATAAGCATCTGGTTCTCTTCATATTTCATACATTTTTTTCAAAATTTCCCTTTCATATCACTCAGACCATACGACCACTATATTGGAGAACTAGATCATATATTTTCCTTCCTTAGGCCTTAGGAAAATTTTCTTAAAAAAAAATAATAAAAGGAAATGGCAACTCTCAAATGCTGGAGAATCCAACATTTTCCAAAATTTCCCCTTCATTTCACCCAGCCCATACGTCATTTCCACGGGTGCAAAATGTGGGTGTTACTGTGTGTGCGTTCGTCCGTCTACATACTCATGTTTATTTAGGTTTGCCGGAAAATGAGTGTGACGTTTTTCCAATTTTTGTGGTTATTTTTTCACCTTAAGGTGTTTTTTCTCCGATGATGATTTGCTGTTTCCAGTTGTTCTCCATCTTTGGATTTTTGTGCAATTTTTCTACGAATTGGAAAAAAGAAAATTCTTCTCCGGCAAGTAGGTGGTGGTGGTGATGGCGTTCATGATGACTCTCAATACGTTTTTCATAAATGATACACTCATGTCTGCTTCCGGTCTCTTCGAATAATGTTTACGTTGTGGCACAACAAGTGTTTACTATATCTTTCATAGGATAGGTAGGCAGATATTTCTCATTTGATGGGGGGTTTTTCTCTGTTTGTTTGTTTGTCGGTTTGCCACATTTCCCATTACCGCCAATTAATTTAATTTATTGCCTTGCAAATCACGAGACAAACGTAAAAATAAATTTTCAATAAAATTACTTTGATATTGTAACTATCTTATCGCTGCAATTGGGCCGGGCAGGTGCTCAATCCCCGCAGATTATTCATTTCAATTGGTTATCAATATATGACGATGACCAGGCGGGCCGGCCTCCCAAGCAATTTATTGTATTTTATATTCACACTGTATGCCTTCATAGCTAATTATAGAATAATTATTGTTATTAATTGCAAATATTTTATCAATAATGATTGACACAAACTAAAACTATTTTTAAAGCCTACGACAGAATGTGCGAATGTGTGACACAATATTGTGCAAATGGTATGGTATGCAATTGACAAGGGTGGGAATTTTCTAGAGAGATGTGGGAGTGACGTTGCAGGCTAACGTAGTAGAAAGTGAGGTAATAGAAGGCAATTGAGGGAACGCATCAAATGCAAATAATAATTAAATAAAAAATTGAAGACCTTAGAGGATGTAAGGGAACGTCGAGACTGGTATATTAAGGATGGAGGGGATATTTTGAGAACTTCCTTCAAAGCGAAAATATTGGAATCGTGAATATTTACAAAATATTTTCCCAAGTCCTTGAAGGCTGCCATTGGATATTATTATTTCAAAGTCCTTGGGTATCTCAAGCATTTAGTTTTAGGACTGCAATCGGAAATGTCTGAAGAATTTTTTATGGCTGTAATGATGGATATTTTAATTCTTTTTTTAAGTTCCTTTTGAGATGGCTTTAAAAACAGTAATAGAGAGTTTTTCAATTTTTATACCTCCACCATACTATGGAGGGTATATTAACTTTGTCATTCCGTTTGTAACTCCTCGAAATACTCATATCAGACCCAACAAAGTATATATATTCTTGATCAGCGTAAAATTCTAAGTCGATTTAGCGATGTCCGTCTGTCTGTCTGTCTGTCTGTCTGTCCGTCTGTCTGTCTGTCCGTCTGTCCGTCTGTCTGTCTGTCTGTTGTAATCACGCTATCTTTCGAATGAATTGAGATAGATGGCTAAAATTTTGCACACATGTTTATTTTTCCAGTAGGCAGGTTAAGTTCGTAAATGGGCCATGTAGGTCCACGTTTTCATATAGCCCCCATATAACGTTACCTCCCTATATTCGGAATTTTGATGATTTTAGCGACATTATTCACCGAAATTGTTTCAAATTTGGTATTTGAAGTTCAAAATGGATACTACACCCTAAGACAGAAAATTGTCTGTGCAGGTCCACGTCTTCATATAGCCCCCATATAACGGTACCTCCCTATATTCGGTATTTTGATGATTTTAGCGACATTATTCACCGGAATTGTTTCAAAATTGGTATTTGAAGTTCGTTATAGGAACTACAGTCTGTGACAGAAAATTGTCTGTGCGGGTCCAGGTCTTCGTATAGGCCCCATATATCAGTACCTCCCTATATTCGGTATTTTGACGATTTTAGGTACAATACCCACTGAAGTTGTTTGAGATGTGGTATTTGAAGTTCGTAATAGATGCTACAGCCTGTGACAGAAAATTGTCTATGCTGGTCCATGTCTTCGCACAGCTCCAATTTAACGGCACCTCCTTATATACGATATTTTGATGATTTTAGCTACATTATTCACCGTTTATTTCAAGTTTCAAATTTGAATATGGTAATGGCTTATGACAAACAATGTCTATGTATGTCCACGTCGTATAGACCCCAATATAACGGCTATATTCGGTATTTTTAAAATTTTAACAGAATTTTTTAAGGATTTTATTTTTTAAAAATTTCCAAATTCGTTGAAAATGGTGGAGGAGATTTTCTAGAATAATTTTAAAGGCATTCAAAGTTTTAAATGCAAATTTTAAAATTATATTTTTAAGGGCCTAAAAAGCCATTATTTACTTCTTTTGGAGACTATAATTTGGGTCTTAAAGGCTGCTATTGGGAATATTACAACGTGAGATGAAAAAACTGCAATCAACTTCAGACTGCTGTCACTTCAAAACCACTCATCCGACAGCTGTTAAAATTATTCCAGTGACAGCTCATTATAGTGTTTACAAGCGTACAAAAGCATTTTGGTGAGAATTTTCCAAAAAAAAAGTTATTAGTGACGGAATTCAAGCGTGATAGTGTGATTTCTTTATATTTGGCTGGCAAACCACAAGTGGCTATCGTTAGAGCACTCCAGCATTTAAATGTGAATGAATCTTTTGTGTCTCGTATCATCGCTCGAGAGTTGCTTCGCTTGACCGAAGGTGTAGATCTGCCGAATTTAATTTTCTCCGATGAGAAAACATTCGTTGTCCAGCAGTTTGTAAACAAGCAAAAAGATCGTGTTTACTTGCCAAAGAGGTCAGTTGAAAATATGCACCTTCGGTTGGGCACTAGAACTCAATCGCCGGCCATGGTGATGGTGTGGGCTGCCATAACAGCCGATGGTCGTTCTCCAATCGTATTAATCGACCGTGGCAACATAATAAATGCCGAATATTAAAGCGAAAATATTCTGGAGAGTGTATTAAAGCCTTGGGCACGCAAACATTTTCCAACAGAAGTCAGCACCATCGCACTCAGCACGCGCCACCCAAGAGTGGTTACAAAATGAGGTTCCTCGCTTTATTTCCAGTGCACAATGGCCACCAAAATCTCCGGATACCAATCAGTTGGACTATTGTGTCTGGGGTATTTTGGAAAGCAAGATTGGCACTAAAAAATACCAAAGTGTCGATCACCTCAAGCAAGCGCTTCATCGGAAATGGTCCAAAATACCGCTAAGCAACATTTGGGCAGCGTGTGACGGATTCATTGGCCGTTTGAAGACCATAACTCGTGCCAAAGGTGACCAATTCCAACAAATCTTAACTTATTTTAAAACTTGACCCCTTTTCCGACATTTTTTGCTTTCATTCAATAAAATTTAAAAAAAAAAAAAACTTAATTTTATATTTGACATAAACATGGAAGTTTAGCAATTGTTTATCACATTTTACGTGCAA